ATCCATCTATCCATCTATCCATCTATCCATCTATCCATCTATCCATCCATCCATCCATCCATCCATCTATCTAACTCTCATCTTTCTCCCTCACCCCCTCACCCCTCTCAACTATCACCTGTCATCTATCAATCATCCATCTCTGTCTCCATCTCTCTGCCTAGAAAGTTTCAACAATAATGTACCCACGAAACCAATTGAAACATTGTCTATTTTCTCCATTGCCCATCTCTTTAAATAACAACTGTGTTATGGGAAATAAAATAATCATTAGTAGTGGAGCAGCATTGGGACAATCCATCAATTTTACAAAAGAAAGTAGGGAAAAGAGAGTCTTCTCATGGCTTCAGTCTTGTTATTTGAAATATGCCCCCTTAGGCATGAAAGCTGACTGGATGACCAACTCACACCACAGGATTGTTACTATGAGGATAATACCAAAAAGTAGGAGGAGGAAGTAGTAGTAGATACAATAGCCTTCTTGATTCATTTATCATAATAATAAAGGAGGAAATCAATCAACCAATCAATAGTTTCTGTTAGTTCCTAAACAGAGATGCGGAAGCCTTTAATCCCAAGATATCATAAGAATCAAAAAATGTTCCCCAACTACTTTCTAATTTCTCAGGAAATACTGCTTGCTCTATAACACTTTTTTTCCCCAACTCAATGATATAGTATATGACTATAAGGCAAACACTTAGGTCAAAATTGTATAAGCAGTCACATTTATCCCATGTGTACTTCTTAATGAGATTCAAGAAAGAGACAGACACTTCCAACATAACAAACAAATAACGTGTTTCCTTTTCATGCTGACACACATAATGTCCCCCCACATTCATGTACAAATTCTGTAACAGAACAAGATATAGTAAACAAAGTAAGGCAGGGGCAGTTGTGTCAGACATGCATTAAGAACAATGAGCCAAGCTCTATTAAAAATTAAATATTCCAAAGTCTTTTAGAAATCTTATAAAATGCTATAATGATGTTTACATAATATTCTATACTTTTCTCTCTGTTAGAGATGCTTTCTCTTTTGGAAGCAGAAGGCACAGCATGTGAATTTCCAGTATGTTGTAGACATTTTTGACCTGAGTGTTTTGTATGTTTGTATGTGTGTATAAATACAGATAATAATATATAAAGTTCTACATCTTAGGAGTTAATCTGAAAAATAGGTGACACACTGTTCTAAGCCAAAATGGGTGCCCAAAGAGAAATATTTACCTTTTTCACAGAAACGCCCAGTGAAATGAAGAGCGCAGTCACACCGAAATGAGGCCATGCCATCAGGAAGATTAATCTGGTGGCAACTTCCTCCATTACGGCACAAGCTTTCTTGGCAGACTGAGAATAAAGCTGGGAGAACAGTTGATGTCAAAACTGCCTTGAGTGAATCAGGGCTGGGATCCAAAAGAGCCGCTGCATTCTTTGCTGTGGCAGAAAACCTGTGATTTAGAGAAATAATTTAGTGTTTTATTTTATTATATTTATTTTATTATATTTATTATTATTTTTTATTTTATTATATACATAAACTTCCTCTCAGGTACAGGAAATCTAGGCAGCATAAAGGAAAACAACCCTAACGTAAAAAAATACATAAAAAATTATAATAGGATACTTGTAATAGAAACCTAGAAAGATAATGTAAAAAATAATAATATGTTAGAAAAACTCAGCATCAACTTCTGGGAAGAAAGATCCCAAAATCCTTTATTCTACGGATGGACAACTTGGAAATCTGGGATTGTGGCTCCTATTATTCTACCATTGATCTATTTGAATGGTCTGTTGTTAACAAAAATTCAATAACATTGGAAGAATGTATGTATCTCGTTATCAGTTTACAAAAAGTATGGAATTGGATCTGTGCCCTACCTTTTTTTTTAAAAATAAAGTCTATTTTAAAAATACATGTGGGCTGATATCCAGGCTATACAAATGTGGAAGAAAGGTAGACTGTGCCCTTCTTGCCCTGTCAAATCCCATCAGATTTTGCTTAATACATCTCAACCCAACAAGGCAGTTTTTTTTTTTTTTAACCTGTGGGTCACCAGAAATGGTTTGGCCAACATGTGTACAATATTTGTTTGTTTGTTTGTGACTTGCTATAAATCATTTTCCATTTTGCGTGTCTCTTCCCCCATTTCCAATATTACTTAATAACAAGCCCTGTTGGATTCAGTGGGACTTATTGTTCAGCAAAGCAAAGATCAGGGCTATCTAGTACTGGCATTCAGTGGTCTCCATTGTTCAAGCTCTGTGATTCCTGTCACATCTGAAGATTCAAATGGCAGCTCAGTTCCTCCGTAAGTGCCCATTCACCACATGGGCATTGTTTATGCACACAAAATCATTATGCACATAAAGGTACTATAATACATGGAATCCAGGAATGCACTCATTCTGAACTGGCCTTATCAAACCAAAAACACATGAACACCAACAGAAAGCCAGCTATCTTAAGGAGTTTCAGACACTGAATAAACCTGCATAGGTATAAAACGGTTTTGATATTTATTTACCTTAAAGACAAGAGGCATTGCTTTCATTATATGAAGTGACGTTTTGTTACATACTCTGGAGAAAGCCTGTCTGTGATAAATAACCAGTGGCTATTTTGCACAATAATGAGCAGCTATTAGAGATACAAAAACATTTATCTATACATTCCTTTGCCTATTCATGTTTAGCAGGCAGTATGTCCCATTGAATACATTGTCACAGACATATATGGGATTGTTAATGTAAAGCAGTGATAGACAATAACACCTGATTTGTTTAAAACCCACTCCACCTTTATGACAGAAATTCAGAGGGGCTCATACAATCCCAAGACATCATAAAAATGAAGAAGAAAGGAATGGCAATTAAAATAAACTTCAGGAAGCAACCATTCCAAATTCTGCTAAATCTAGAGCTAGACAATTTAATTCTATGTTTAAATCTATCTAATTATCTATTTATCTATTCTCCTCCTCCTCCTCCTCCTCCTCTGAATGGACATTTGAACTGAATCTTTCTCTATTTCAAAAAGAGCTCTTGTTGCTGGGTTTTCTTTTTCCAGACTAGTAAACGGGAAGGATGCTTAAGCCAAATCAACCCCAATAGTAGCACCTTCCATCTCTTCCACTAAGAAATAATCTAGTTCCACCTTTGGCCCCAAATGCACTGCAACTTGTGCTGCAACTTCACGAGAAATTCAGAAAAAAACCTTAAAACACCCTGAGAACAATATAACAAAGCAGAAGAAATACTTTTGAGAATTTGCAAGCTAGATTTCAACTGAGAATTACCCAACATTTTGGTAGTCTAAGGGGACAGCTTAGTTCTAGCAACGGTGGCTAGTTACAAATTCAAACTAATGTGGGGTTTTAGGAGGCTTCCAAAGACAGCAACATTAGCTTGTTCCATTCCCATTTTCTCCACCTTAATAGGGTAAAATTTACTTTCTCAATCCTGTTATTGAGAATGCAATTGAGGTTAGCTTGAGCAGAACAGAAATTCTAGGCTTCCTTTATTTTACTAATGTATGTCTCAATTGCACCTTACGGGCCACCTGTTCTCAGAGTCTTCTTTCCAACGCCCCTTTCCATCGCTCCCTTTGGTTTGCTGTGGAGAAAATATTCCTGCAAACTCATTAATGGAGCAAACATCTGCAACTAAATAGCATTCATGCCAACAGCTATGAATAAGTAATACTCCTGACTCCAAACAGTTTAACTAAAACATTTATTTAAATAAAGAGCTCAGAAACATTTAAAAGTCATTTAGTAATTGAGGTGTTAGACGTTTCAGCAAGGCACCAGGAAAAAAAAATCGTATCAGACAAGCTTGATTTGACTTTAAGCAAGGTAAGAAAATCAGTCTGTGAAGGGTTTCTTTTCTTGTCTCATCCTTCTTGACTGGCGTTTGGAGGGGAAGTGGGGTGCAAGAGAAAGCAGGGCATCTCTCTGCGGTGCTTAAGTAATGTTGTTCAGCTGTCTCAAGGACTGTATAAAAAGACTTATTTCTCAGAAAGAGAGAAAAAAAATGATGGTGTGTATTGTTGGGATTAGCGCTTGGCAAAGAAATATTCCCTTAATTGTTTTTGTCTTCTTCTGCTAGTTCTAATTCAGTTGAGTGAAAGAGAATTTCAGATTAATTGTTGTGGTTGAAACATGGTGTCCTTGGTCTTAATAAAAAAAAACTGGCCAGAAGGAAGGCACGTGTTTTTCATTATTTAATGTAACAATAGCTCCAGCAATCCACAGCCAGTTTGATTCCTCATCTTGCAGTTCTAGCTAAGGATGGCATCATAGCAGGGGTGGGCTTAAATTTTTTTAGCAAAGGGTTCTCTGCCCGGTGACTGGGTAGATGTGGCCATGGTGGGCGTGGCCTAGTCAGCCTCCTGCACCATGGCGGAGGTGAACTGTATGGCAGAGTCAAATATCAGTACAAATGTTTTACAATATTTTGTATAATGTCATAAACTGTTTTATGGTAAGTTTTGTATCATAAAATGCTTTATAAAATTGACCAAATTTCAATTCCATGGGAGTCATGGGTCCTGAATTTGGATGCATTCTGTAAGTCAGTCCAGTTGTGATACCTTGGTTCAAAAAATTGTTGCCCTATGTACACCATCTTACCCAGTTAAAAGTAATGGGGATTTCAGGTATTGAGACGTATACTGAGCAATCCATAGGGATAACAGAATTCTTCACCTCTAGAGCAACATATTCAATGCAAGCTTAAAAAGTCTACATGCAATATGTTTCTTTTCTTTCAATATGTACGCTATGTACTACTTTGAATTTAGCACAACCAGTCAAAATTACAATAATGAAATATTAAATATAATGTAAACCATTAAATTGAAACCCACAATAATAATCCCAATTATCATTCACTTCTGCTATGAAATAATTGGCTCTCGGTTCAATATAGCATAGAATTTGAACCCAGAGATTGCCATTTGTACTTGAATTGTAGAGTTTGCAGTAGCAAGAGCAAGAGCAACAGCACTTGGACTTATATACCACTTCCCAGTGCTTTACAGACCTCTCTAAGCAGTTTACAGAGTCAGCATATTGCCCCCAACAATCTGGGTCTTCATTTTAACAACCTTGAACGCTGAGTCAACTTTGAGCCACTCAGAATTGAACTCCTGGAGTGAGCAGTGAGTTATCCTGCAGTACTGCATTCTAACCACTGCACCACCACGGCTCTTAGCTGGTAGCTGGTTTTCTTTACTATTGAACATTTATTTCTAATATTTACAGTACAAATATCTTATCAGATACCTGTCCTTGAATGAGTTCAACTGTCAGTCTGGCTGGAATCTGGCATTAATGTTCGTTGAAGCCAAATTGTTAAGGAAATCTAAGAATTACTAAAAGGTAAAGTCTTATTTGAATCGTACCAGTTTATAAGATTGTTAGATTTTTCTGGAACTTTGTGAACTGGTTGAGAGGACAGCAGAACCAATCAACTTAATGGCTAGAGGCATGGCATGGCAATGAATCCTAAAAAACCAGTTAAACATTTACCAGCATGTAGTCTTTCTGGCCACATGAAAATATTGGTTTTCCACTGCTTTTGTCCTGTATGTACCACTTCCTAGTCAAATCTACAGCCCTAGAATTATCCCATGTTCTCCCATCTGTGTATTAAACAGGTTTGATCCTGCTAACTTTCTGAGATCACTCCATATTTATCATGTGCTGCTATTTAACTGGGTCTGAAAACTGACACATTTCAGTATTTTTAAAAATAGAAATATTGTGGTCTTGTGCAAATATTGTGGTCTTGTGCATTATTTTTATACCCAGAAGTTGACTGTTCATCAAACACATTTGATTTGATTTGACTGAGACATAGTGGGTGTATTAGCACAAATTGCTACATATTTAATATTTATTATTTGGGGAGGGGGGGTTAGAATGGAGTGCAAATGGAATTTGCACTTTGGTTATTTATATTATTTGGTATATTATACCAACCCAACAAGTGGTTAATTTAATAACAAGTTAAGCATATTGTGCAAATTTAGCACAAGAATCTGTGATGCTTGAGTTAAAGCGAGCAATATTAAATATCCTCAAACCTTTTTCATTTAAGCTGCTGAAATTTAAACTTCAGTATTAAACATTTGATGACTTTAACATCTCATTTCTTAATATAAGTGACATGCAACAGCTGCACCAGATAAAAAAGCAAAGTTCTGGCATTCTGCGGAGCCTCTCTAAGACTTGCTTACAGAATGAAAAAAGCTGCTTTATATCAAATTTGTAATCACATGAACAGATGCTTGTAATCTATGTTTGTACCTGATGGAAATTTGGCTCCTGTAACCAGCACAAAATTTATGTAAGAAAACCTGGCACTTATTTCTACAGCTATTGGGAAGAAAATTAATGCTTGCTAAAGAAAATGTTGTTCAGCTAGCTAGATTATGGGAGGT